CAAGCTCCAAGATGCTCGTGGAATTCGTGGAGCTCTTATGCATCAGCTTTTGCCACAACCGCTGCAGGCTTCCATGGCTTCCTTCTGCCGACAAGCGGGCCGCACTTTCACGCAGCCGCTTCAGCACATCTGCCTGGGCGAAGAATGTGGACGAATTCTGCGTTAGCACAGACAGGACCAGAGATGTCGCATCCATATCTCTGGCATTGCAGGTCCTTCTCGAATCTTTCTTTAGAAGACTGTCTACATGATAAAGCCGAACATTCAACATTCTGTAATTGCAGACATCGTCACTCACGAGCTCCTTTGGTCCCGTCTGCCTAGGCCTCAACCAAAGGTCGCTCATGTCTTCCAAAGCTAATGTACGGCTTGCTTCCCCGAATGCCGCGGGCCCCACGCAGTTTGCGATAGCCACGAGGAGTCCTCGGTCCATTTCAGCTGCCTGGCGCCATGCTTGTGTGGCGGCGACCACGCGCCCGTGCCAAATAAGAGCTCCGAAGTGACCTGAAGGCTCTTCAGGCTCTGCACCTGCTGGTGACTTGACATCCAGGCACTTCAGCAAGTCATTCAAAGCATGCTCTGCGATGTTGCTGCAGCCCAGAAGAAGCCATTCCACAGTGGCACCGCACAGCCTTAGCCCCAAAGGCGGCAGCGGTCGCGAGGCATCCAGACTTGACCCGTATCTTGGGGTCGCAAGACTCCAACCGAACGGATCGCTTGCAGTGGAAGCTTGGGAATCCTCTTCCTCTGACATCAGCTGGGAAACTACAGGGGAGAGGCGCTCTGTCAGCAGCCGCCGCACAGTGTCGGCTTGGATGTGTCCCCCAGCGGCTTTCTGCAAATAATGGCCCAGAATCAGGCGAGCACCCTGGTACAGGGCATCCAGTCTCCAGCGGAGCCTCGTCTCGAGGTCCCCGGTCCTCCCCGAAGCGAACTCTGAAGTGACCATGGCTAAGCCAAGACGGGCACCCTGCTCCCCATGGACCGCCAGGGCAATTGTGGCATCATCAGAACGAATGAGGCCCGGCACAAAGCCCTGCTCCAAGCTCGCAGTGACCAGTGCGTGAAACAATGCGCTGGAAGCGAATGAAACGTCTGGGTAATTCTTTGCAGCCTGGAATATGGGCCGACCTGAATCGTTGGAGATCTGGATGAAAAAGCCCATGCGTCTTCCGGTAGGCCGTTCAGGACGTAGTCTACCTCACGCCTAGGTTGAAATCTGTAGTTCTATGTCCTGCCAGTGTCAGCCGCAAGCGTTACATTAAGACTTCAACGGGGCATGCTTTGTCTGCAGGCTTCTGAGCAGTGTTGGGAGCTGTGATCATTTTTTGTGCTGCCACCTTTGAGCTCTTTGGCCAGTGGCTGAGGAGCCGTCCCAGCAGGAAACAAGAATAAACGGCGCCAGAAACCTCGCAATACAGGCTTGCTTTAAATTAGGTCGCTATCTGGATGTGCGGGGCGAAGACAGCCCGCCTTCCCGCAGATGCTGCCTTGGGCCAAAGACTTATCAGTAGGATCGACCTAGAACTTCTTTGCTGCTTCACGTCCCCAAGCATGAACTCAGTAACCCCCTGAATAGATCGCCAATACCCCTGGCACCTCTAAGACAGTTTTTTGCACAAGGAACTCGATTGCTTACACTCTAATATGATATCATATAGTACACTATACTAAAATAGAATTAAGAATAGACTATATAGAATAATCGAATGGAACAGCATGGAATAGAATAGAATAGAATAATAGAGTAAACGAGTAGAATCGACAGCTTGCAGTTCTCCTGAGGCCACGGGCAGACTGGGCTTCGAGGTCGGCTTGCTCAGCCTCCGGCTTTCCGTGACAGCGCTCCGCTGTGTGACATTGCTTAAAGGAAACTACAGGTGGGGAGTGTAGGGCATATAGGGCTTCTATATGGCTTCCATAAGGTATATAGACCTTCTATAAGGCTCCTATAACGGTAACTACCCACATGAAAATGTCCTAGAATTGCCTTTTGTGGCAGACCCCTGCTTGCATAACTAGGTCGTTCTGCTCTCAACCTTGTTGGTTCGTGAGCTTCGGTGTGAAACTTCACGGAGATGTGGCATGTGCACCACGGCATCAAAAACGCAGGCACCACCAATGTCGGGAATTGCACAACGATGGCAAGGGTAACCAGCTATATCTATTCACACAAGCGCTGCACCACATTATCGCAATATTGGTGCCTGCACAACATACTAGTAGCATCACTATTCAAGATGCTCCAGGCGGAAAGTCTATCTCAGCATGCAAGCATCTCTTCGAGGATGCGTCCCCATCGCGGGCTGAGAAACCACCGCACACAGTCGCCAGTGCAGCTGACTTGTGACTTGACCAAAGCTCGCAAGCAAGCAACTACCAGTACGAGCACAGTGCTCGGCACACGTGGTCGCTTTCGTCGTTCACAGATAGGTTGTGGGCCAGGACCGACGCGACGCCGGACACCTTCTGCCGACGTTGTTGAATTCACGTAGACCCTGGTCCGATTCCATAACGAATCTACTATTGGGGCGCTGCCATGTCCCCCCTCCGCTGCGGCCTCGTACATCTCCGATGCCTAGAGGTGTCCGAAACCTGCCCTCTCGACATTCTAGTTGCGATGAAACATCAGATTATCTTCCAAGTGTCCCGTTATACTCGGGAGCAAGTTGGAGACAGGTTGCCCCATGAGGTCAACCCATGGAGCGATGTGCTGTCCTTCACAGCCAGAGCGAAGGCCAGAGCTTGCCGAGCTGAGGCTCGGCTGATGTGTCGTTCTGCTGCAATTTTGGCTGCGACTCCATATCTCGCCTGTCGACCTCTTGGGACTGCTTCAAGCTTGGGCCTGTTGCCACTTGGCTTGCAACCCCACGGGCAGTGCTTGCAACAGGCATGGATCTCGGCAGAAGCTTCGCCTCGTCAGAGCCGGCGTGGCTTCGCAGCGGCTCGGCAAGCTCCGCAGCCTTCTGCGCCCGCTCTGTTTGCCCAATCATACAGTATGGCGCCTGGTTTCTTCCGGCAGGGCCACCGGTTCACTCGGATCTCTCTGCTTGGAAACAGCTTGCACTGCGAAAATAAGGCACAAGCTGCAGCTTGACCCAGAATGGCTACCCTTTGTTTTCCACCTCTTGTAGCTTCAGTAGTTGGGACAGGGGGGTTGTTCACTAGCCAAGGAACGAAATACCATCATCTTTGCAGCTGCCAACAATCGTACTGCATGGAAACTGGCGGGCAATCTGTCATCTGTTCATGAAAAAATTGCGCACCGCACTCGAAGCGGCACTCCAGCGTGCCATCTTACGGCCTCCAGGGGCGAAGAGGGTTCCAGCTCCCAGCCTCCGCCGGTGGCCACGGTTCAGGGTTTAGGGGTTTAGGGTTTAAGTATGGGAACCGTTGGACTCGAGTGGGCTACGCCGTCATGGCACGAGGATGAAGGGAACTAGAGACGTCCCCATGCAGCCATTGGCAAGCTTCGCAGCAAACTCCATTCTGGATGGAACAAAACCCGCAACTCACATAGACACCTCCGGTTGCTCCGGATGAGAGAAGTTTTTGCCTGCACAGCTCTCGATAGTAGGCCCCCGACGCAAAGCTGCCGCTAGTTGGGGCCTCGATCAGCATTGCGGTTCACTCTCACCAGATAGGCACACACACGCAAACCCACATGAAAACGACCGAGATCCGGACATGATAAGCCGTACCATTGCCTGAACTCAGATTGCATCCACATTAGGGCACATTGCCGGACACACGTGTATGGTACGAGTAACTGCGCTAAGGTTGGGTACACCTTCTCACCAAATGCATTGCTAAGCCGAGCACGACAGACTTGTGGAATGCATCCTCCTGCCATGACCACCACCCCCGCTTTTGTTTCCGGCTGAGGCGATTCGGACGATCATCCGCCAAGGCGTTCGATGCGAAATGGATTCCCCGCAAGAAACCCTTGTCCTTCAACTCCGTAATTTCGAAGTCCACGCTGCCGACACGCTGTATAGGATCCCTACAGTAGGTTAGGGACCGCGGCCCGAAATTTCAGAACGCGAAACCTGGACCAGAAACCAGGCGACGGAGACCTCACCCGGCTCATCCAGGCGAGACCAGCTGTCCTGTCACAGCACAGCTATGGATACTCTCAGGGGCAGGTTTGTGCCACTACAAAAAGGGCTATTTTCAGATATTTTCAGGGACTTTCAGGGGTCTCATCATCGTGGCTATTTCTTCCCTGCAAAGAAAAAGTAGTAGCACTAGTGCTAGTACTAATTCGTAATTCGTAGTCCCATCCTACTCCTACTCCTACTGCTACGACCACCACCACGGTCACGACCTCGACCACTACCACTACTGCACCGCTACGACTCCTACGTAGCAGCAGCAGGCAGAATCAAGCAATTGCCAACCTCGGCTCCCCAACGTATCTGACGCCCGTCGAAGCGACCATGCCTCAGTGCCAAAGCACAGCTAAGAACTTTGCAAAAGATGAACAGCGGGAGAGCATCCTGATGCATGCAAATCATGAAAAGTGTGAAGGCCCAATCCGACTTTTGATTCGGCCTGGCGCTCGCAGCTAGAACTTTCCGGCTGCAAGGGCTCTTGGCCAACAACATCAAACCGGCGCCAGCTGTATCATTGTCCTCGTCCTGACAATTCCAACACCACCAAAACATCATCATCACCATCATCATCATCATCATCATCATCATCATCATAACTAAACTAAGCGTCACCACGACCACCACCACCATCATGATCACGATCACGAAGGGTAGTGGCCCACAATGCCAGCTGTCGTCTGGGGCCACGGCTTGTTGTCCACCAGAAGGGTGTCATTTTCTATCCTCGCCTTCAACACCTGTCAGGCATTGTAAGGCAGCAACCCGCTGCTTCCAGACTCAACGCAAGAACCCCACTCCTGCCTTGGACGGACCATGCCCTGGCCGCAGAAGCAGACATCAACAGAGCTCACAACTCTAAATCGCTCTCTGATTCCCAGAAGTCCGCTACGATCTCTCTGCATGCCAAGTACAAAAAGTTTCAAGAACAGACCTGACCTGACCACGTTTCCTTTTCCGTCGCATGTAGCAGAGCCCAGGCCGTGCTGCAGGCCAAGGCCACGCGTCTCTCGCTGCTGCCTGGTGTGCCCTGGGTCTCTGCATCGACGATTCGCAAGCAGCAGCCGCAAGCTCCTCGCTGGTGGAGAGGAGTTCTTGGGGACACGTGTTTATAACCGACAGCAGGTTCTACCACCAGGATCCTTCGCGACGCTGAAAGACTCCCCCATGAGAGGCAGGCTTTGCATCTCCCGTAGTAAGCACAAAGTGAGCTTCCACTTGCTCCCCGAGCCTTGGCTGAAGGGCCTCTTCTATCCACGTCTCACACCAAGTGGGTAGAATCTGGGACATGCGTAAACTTTCCGCACGGGTCAGCCCAGAGGCATGGTAGGACGAAGAACATACTACGGACACAGCAGCCAGGCGACTGCATGCAGCAAGTGTGGTCTGGTAGGTTATGCCATCCCCGCCCATGTCCACAAGAAGCTTCAGAGAGCGCTCCCACTGCAGAGCCTTGCTGAGGGTGCCGAGCAGGGCATTGAAACCTGAGAGCAGCTCAGCCATCGAAGCGACAGCTCTTGAATAAGTCAGCTTGACTTAGAGCTCATTCACATATCCATAGGGTCCCTTAAAGGGGAGAGGGGGGGGGTCGGGGACTATACCTCCTTAAACCGGCCCTATTAGGTCCTTAGTACAATTATTTTGGCCCCCTACCCCCGTAAGGGTCCTTGTGACATATTGCCCGGGCACAGACCAGAGATGGCGATGGTGCCTGTGAGAGCCTTTGGTGCAAGTTCTCGACTCACTATCCTCGCATATACGGCACCATACTAATACTATCTCTACTCTACACTATGTCTACTCTAGTAACTCTAGCAAGCTTCACACCCTACTACAGTATCAGAGGAGCAGGAAGTCCATCATCTGAATAGCCTGCTCCCACTCGCCGCTGATCTCAAAAGCTGCGAGGGCTGCCGTGATGCTTACTTCGCTGGGAAGAACGCTTGCCATCAGCATCTCTTCCAGCACTTGGATCCTGTGTGTCGACACCGATTTCAATTATTTCCTGTTCATCGTGTTGAAGAGCTTTCAACGGGCTTCTACTCGAAGCGGAGTGGCGCAATGTCCCAGCGATCTGTCTTTGCGCAGGCGCTAATAGTCGCATTGTAGCTTATCTCGTCTGCCACAACCCCGTGCCTGCCCGGCAGGCAGGCAAACTGTGCCATGAGATCACAAAGCATGACATCACATCTAAACCCCTGAAGCCCCAATGGGCCCTTGTTTTGGGAACCCTAATCCCTAAATCCCCAAGCCGGGCCTCGGAAGTGCTCTTAAGAGCCTGAAAGCCATCTTCCGCTCACCAGCCTATCGAAAGATGAGGCGGCTTGCGGTGTTTTTGTTGCCTCCCGCCTGTAGGACGAACCTACGATTGCTTCGGGCTTAGGGTTAAGGTGCGAAAAGCCGCAGTCTTACTTCTCTCAACAACACATCCAGATATCAAGCGCATGTATAGAGACATATGCACGATATGTATGTCTGCCGTGCATTCCACTGCATTGCTGTTTAGCAGTCTAGCACCTGCAGCGCATACTAATATATAAGAAGAGTGAGACTGTGCATATATACAGGTCATGCATATAGCCATGTTCGGTCTAGCCGTCGAAGACCGGAAATGTCGGGAAGCTACTGCCACCGGGCTCAATGCGCTCAACAGAATAGCAGAAGTAGCTACGGCCACGCCACAAGATACCCATCAAGGCAAGCCTATGTATGATATGTAGCACTGGTGAAGGGCATGACTCCTACTGAGAAGTTCTTCGCGGTGACGCATGCAAGTCGTGATTGCGCGATGCTGTGCTACATCCATGCCATCATTGTCTAAAGGCATGTGCCAACGAAATCGTGGGCGGGAGGAAAGGCATCAACCATGTCATGGGAGCAAACCCCCCGGCTTGCCCTGGGGTGGAGATTGCCACTTGTCTCTTTGATCAGTTGTCCTTGAGAAGCGGTGCACAAATCACCTTGGTTGGGCACCCCTGCTGGCCAAGCAGACTGTTTAGCTCCCGCATGGCAGGCACGAGACGACTCGATCCCACATAATAGAAGGTTGCATGCCAGGCAGACTGATTGCAGACTGCACCGGAATTCTGATCTGGGCTTGCTTCTTGGAGTCTAGGAGCATCCAGGCTTCGGGCTTCTGTATCAGCCGGGCTGGGGCTGGGGGTTCCAAAGTTGCCATTGAGTCTTCCGCCATCCCGTAACCCTAAACCCTAAGCAACAAAGGACTCATGGTTGGCCTTCTCGCAGGTCGTCAGGGCTGCATTGCAGACCACCGAGTTGCGAGCCACGCTGGCCGACGACATCCTAAGCGGCAGGCAGCTGAACGAGAAAAAAAAAACACCCAAATTCACTGCTTCGATACTGATGTATGCGACACTGGGGTTGTCTGGCCTACGTTTATTGGGAACTCTACCAATGATCGTTGCAATTCACCTGTCTGCAGCGTTGGTCGGGGATGCTGAGTCTACCGCCTGAGAGCGCATGAGAATCACGATTCTAGCCCGACAAGGTGCTCGTTCAGAAGGTGCATGGCGAGCTGCCACCTCAGATCTGCTGGAATGTTAGAGGCAGTAGGGGCCACAAGAAAAGAGCCATCATCTAGCACGTCCGGCGCCTAAGCCCTCAACCCAAGACCCTGCTTTAGACTCTCGCAACTCTAGGGTTTAGGATCTTTAGGGGTTCATGGCTCAGGGATCAGCCTGGCGTCTCAGCTGAATGATGGCAGCTGCTGATGCTGGTGGCAAAGCTAGCAGCATCAGGTCTTATCCGAGCGCCGTGCATCCTGCAGGTAGATGGTAGTCAAGTGAGTTCAAGTCAAACCACTGCTCTTTCTGATGAAGGAGGCTGAAAAGACCGTCCTTCCAAACAGGGTCAATGCTCGATGCCATTGCGAGTTCTGCTGCAGTGCATGCATGCAGGCATTGTAGGTCGCGGCACCTGATGGCTTCGGTATCAGTGTATTGCGTCATAAGGATTTCCGTGTAATGTCTCTGCATAGCGCTACAAAACAACAGAGGGCGATGTTCAATGTTTTCAAAAAAGATGGCTCGCCACGGCAACTGGCAGGGTTTCTGGGCTGCATCAAGCCTGTCCTAGGTTTAGTACCTTGCCTCGACTCTCTGCCAAACACCGTCTCTACCAGTAACTGCCATATGGCTCCTGCTGAGAGAAGCGCTGGTCTGTTTGAGGGCCTCGGCAGCTGCGAACAAGGCAACAGATTGAGGCCACTGGCCACCTTGGCCACAAGCGCTGATAGCAGTGTTGTAAGTGATCTCGTCCGTCTGCAGCGATGCCTTGCCAATATTCCTGACCAGCACCATGGCTATCTGCCACTGGGACGCCGATTCGCACACAGTCAGGAGGGCGTTGCAGGTCACGGTGGTGACAGGTGCCCGGAGCACAGTGGAAGCTGCTAGAAAGCCTACGGCTGCTTTCCAGTTCCCGGATCGTTTGCAAGCGCTGATGGCGGTACTTATGCTTATAGCATCTGGGCATACTCTGATGCAGGGCATGGACTCAAGGATCTTCTGTGCCGAGTCCCACTTGCCAGCTCTCGCATAGGCATTTAAAATGGAGTTGAAGCTCACTGCATTACTCGACACCAGGTTTTCCTGCATGAATTCAAAGAGTGCTTCCGCAACTTGCCATCGTGTGCACTTGGCCATGGCAGAGATGGCAGCTGTGAAGCTAAAGACGTTTGGCTGCAAGGCACGCTGGGGCATACCGCAAAGCACCGCGAGGGCAGCTTGCCACTGGCCTGGAAATCTTGCCAATGCTGCGATGCGGGAGGTGTAGGCCGCCAGGGATCCCGTGGTGTTGGGAAGTCTGGCTGGCCGTGGCCAAGCAGCAATAGTCTGCCCATCCGCGTTGGAGTGAAAGCGCAAAGTACGAATTCGAGCATGTTTCGAGAGGTAGCCTTGGCAAGCTTCATAGTCGCGCCCGTAAACCTACGACCTACGGAACCACAATGGGAACCGTGGGAAACAAAACAACAAACCTTTGCCAATGTTTCCAACACATGCCAGCAGCCGAGCATCCCGCTGTCATCGCATGCCTTTCGGGGTGGGCATTTTCCGCAGCGAATCGGGCACAAAATATGAGATCTACACAACAGTAAATGGTCATACAATGCTACTATTTGCTGATCACAGTATTTGCGGATGCGAGGTTAGATTCCCATCTGTTCCGCCCTCTGCTGAGAGCAGGCTAGATCTACACGAGCCTGTGTAAAAAGACATGAAACGAGTTTGGGCAACACCGAAAATGAATCACGAGTCCGCACACGCTGACAGAGAAGCAACTGCCAAGATCAACCCAGGGAGCCTCAAATTCTCCGCAAAGCGCGGCAGCCAGCATGGCATTATTCTTACGAGTGCAAACTCAGAGCCAGAATAGCAATCGGATAAAGGATATCTGCGGCTGCAACAAAATGTTCTCAACAAAAGTGAGCTGCCAGGAAGGACCATTGGGAATACCTGCGTTGCCATAAGGGGAACGGCTAAGCAGATCCGATTCTGAGGAGAGGCCTTGGAATCCTTAAAGGGGGGATTCCAAGCTGCACTGCAAGACGTGCCAGGCAGTCTGTGCCGATACTGCAGCAAGGCGGTGTCTGCTTTGACATGGATCGTGATTTGGCCGCCATGACCTGAAGATCGCCAAAGACAAAGAATGCACCATGACGAGTGTGGTGTAGCTGTGAAGTCGAGCTCACATCGATGCACACTGCAACGTATCTTTCTCCGACAGAACTGGGGCAACAGACGTCATACTCATAGACACTGTTTGAAGAGCCGGGGCAAGGGCCATCATCATACGTGCCACGCCACGGCAAGCCCTGACAGTACAAAGCCCATCGAGGCTTAGGGCTTAGGGTTTAGGGAAGGTAAATCAAGGTAACAAAGAGCCATCTCATCTCTCCTTTCTCGTCAATCCTCGCCGCCCTAGCCCAATCATACCTATGGCTGGAGGCTGCTGGCCTGGAGCCAGAGTTGATTCACCACCATCAAGGTCAGAAGGCTTCTTTGAGCGGGACAAGATGCCTGCGCAGGATAGCAGATTTGCAACCAGCACAAGGCCAGAACTGGTACTTTGGCCATACAAAAGCACTGTGTGATCAGTCTTCTCAGGCTCTCTTGCCTTGCTTATCTGGCGAAGATCCTCGATGATGTTCTCCAAGCCGGAGATGTGCTGCATGGGATGATGGCTACCTCAAGCGATGCCAAGCATCTTCAAGGGAATGACTCCTGCTACACTTGGCAGCACGATGATTCCTTTGCCCTTGCTCGCCATAGCGCCGACCATCACCGATGATACTTACTGTAGAAGCTTGTCTTACTTGTGGCCTGCAAAGCCCTAGCTCAGTGACCTTTTTAGACCTGGCGGCTGCATGCTGCAATCATCGTTGATTGGCAGACCACCAAAAGGGACAACCTGTTGATGTCCCCACGCCAGGCGGGACAAGACCACGTAGAACACGACCCCCTAATCTCTCCCATCTACAGTACATCCTTTCTCAAAGCTACTGGCTAAAGAAACCCTAAGTTGGCTAAAGAAACCCGAGGTTGCACCTCGAGATGGCTGAGCGGGCTCGGAGCTGCCACTATTGGCCTCGGTCTTTGCTCCAAGCTGGAGATCCTGTAAGGTTAGTTCCTACTGCTGTGTATTCTTGTAGGAGGTTCCTTGCTTCTTCAGAACCTTGAGGGGTACCCGAATCTTAGAACAAACCTCAAGTCTGGCTCATCCTCATCGCTCTGCTTGTGCTGATTCGAAACACTTCAGACCAGCTCTGCAAATCCCAGAGAGCAACTTCACAAACTAACCAAAGATCAGCCCTCAACTCCGCTAAGAAATCGCCTGCAAACCCCAAACGACAAAAGACTTCCCACACATATGCACATACATGTACACAGGTACAGGTATTGGGAGGCTGTGGGGGCGCACTGGCCTGCTTCGACTCGTGCTGTGCGACTCGTACTGGGAAGCCAGCCCATATGCTTAGATCGACCGCGAGACAGACCACAGACCAAAAAAGATATACAGAGACAGACATACATACCTCGCACACTCCATTATGCGTTGCATTAGGGCCCGGCCAGAGGGATCTGGGCCTCCAGGTCCATGTCCTCCTCCTCTGTGAGAGGCTTCGGAGGTCAGTTTCGACATGGGCTGATTTAGTGCTGATAGCTCGGCTCTCAAACCAGATGATGCCACCAAAACGGCTAGACAGCAAAAGTTGAATGCAGGAAGCCATCGCAATGCCTCCAGGGGAGTCCGTTCCCAGCACCCGGTGGACCGATGACGGAACTGATAAGTTCCAGAAAGTTGATGTTTTTCGTCTGATCACCTATGCCATCGTTTTCGATACATGCGCATACTCGACATTTACCCACCCGACCTCTGGTTACAGTTCCGTGAACACTTCGTCTGAGCTGTCAAGGTGCCTTCCAAACCGTAAAACACGAGGGGCAACGCAGTTCCGTCAACGCCTTGTCTGGCTGTCAAGGCGCCTTCCATATCGAAAAAGCAGCGGCCTCCACGGCACTCATCCGCGCTCGCTGCTCCGTCAAGGCCTAGCTGCTCATCTTGGACAACACATGACGACGCAAGGCACTGAAACCATTCAAGCGACTTACCGACTGCCCCCTTCAGGAGAACTTCAAGCCGGTGATCTTGAAGAGAGGCTGCTGTGCACTGTTATCCACAAACACGGAGCAGGGCACTCATGCTGGAGACCCACGAAAAGCTGACCTTTGAGGGCGAGGCTGGTGCAGGCGTGAGACAACGTCTGTCCTGGTCCAGCCGCTGCAATCGCGTGTTTGACACATCAGCTCTCACGGTGGTCGTGATTGCAACAAGTGCTTTTGGCGGTCCAGCTTGTGCCGTCGCTCGGGTAGCCAGTAATGGACAATCCAAGCCTCGGTCCATTGGGCTTCGGAAAACTTGTACATCTCTCCGACAACATGCCTTATCGACAATGCTGATCCGTGCCGCTGACATTCAGCACAATGAACAAGATGCCTCAGTCAGGCATAATTCATCAAGCTTCCTGCTGTGCTTCGCCGGCTTGGGTGCTGGCTCCAGTGCAAGATGTCGTTGTACCAGTGAAGCCAGCTGTCTCTCCTGCATGGCCGTCAGGACCCAACAGCAGTACTAAAGCAGAGTAGTACTAATACAGGTTGGCGCCAGTAGTACCAGTCGCCGTCGCCGTGCTTGCAGTCGTCGTCGTTGTCATCGCGACAAGCACAGTGGGAGTAGGAGCAGCAGATGTACGCAGTAGCAGTAGCAGTAGTAGCGGTGGTGGTAGTAGTAGTCGTCGTCGTCATACTCGTAGCCGCAGTTGTTTCAGAAGCCGTAGCCGTAGCCGTATCCGTAGTAGTAGCAGTAGTAGTCGTGGTGGTCGTCGTAGTAGTAGTAGTAGTAGTAGTAGCAGTAGTAGTAGTAGTAGTAGTAGTAGTACGTAGTAGTAGTAGTAGTAGTAGTAGTAGTAGTAGTAGTAGTAGTAGTGGTACTATAGTACGAAAACGAGTAGTAGCAGCAGAAGTAGCAGTAGTTGCAGTAGCAGGAGCAGTAGCAGTAGCAGCAGTAGTAGTAGTGGTAGTTCTAGTGCTTGTACTACTACTAGTACTAGTGGTAGCAGCGAAAGTAGCACTAGCAGTAGTAGTAGTAGTAGTAGTAGTAGTAGTAGTACTAGTAGTAGTAGTAGTAGTAGTAGTAGTAGTGGTAGTAGTAGTAGTAGCAGCAGCAGCAGCGGCGGCCGCAGCGATGGCAGGCACCAATACTGTCAAGGTACCAATCCATCTGTTCCATTGACTGCTTCCAAAAGCGCCATCCGCCATCTCTTCGTAACTCAAGAGCGCATGACTTCCGATGTCTCAATGCACGCAGTCGACTTGGCCCCAGGCTCTCGGGAAGAAAAAATCGTTCCCCGCCTTCGCCTGCAGAGATGCTAGCTCACGAACGCAGATGTATGATCAGTCAGCCAGTTCACATGAATTTCAACGAATGTTATTTTTAGGTGCACAGCAAGTCCTGTGAAGATTTCGACTGCAACGAGCCTCCAGAATGCATGTCCACATGAACAGAGCTTCGAGGTACTTGATGTAGTAGTAGACCTGTCCGTGCGGCAACAGAACAGAGCTGCGACAGAAGTACCGTTTTGGGATATGTTGCGGAACAACAGTTCACGAAAATTGAATTCCGTGTTGCTCGACAGCAATCCTGTCTCTCTCCCGTCATCCCCAAAGCGTTATTGCTACAGACAAGCTTCGCAGTTTTTGCAATCTACACACCACGAGATCCGGAGCTCAGCACGCAAGCATGCGAAGCTGAGACCTGGTTGACATGGTAGAAGGGGAAGCCTGGCAAAACTCAGAGACATGCAAGAAAACACGCTTGTGTATATAAGTGATTTCTAACCCTCTATATATATATATATACATGTGCATATATATATATATGTATATATATATATATACCTACATACTTACATACATGCATGTGTTAGTTACATGTGCATATGTTTATGTATATGTCTTTGCCTATGCCCATGTATACTGCAAATGTGCATGCATGTGTATAATAAATATATATGCATTATATATATATATATATACATATATATATATATACATAGCTGCACATGTGCAGTATACATGGGCATAGGCACAGATCTATACATGTACATATGTATGTACATAACCAGGTAGAACTATTAGCTATAGATATGCACCATGTAAATGTACCGATATTGATATAGATGATATAGGTATTTAAGTATAGATACAGGTAAAGATACAGATATAGGTGTACATACTTGTTTGCAACTTGCCGTAGTTGGGCATACACACCTGCAGAGCATGTTGTGTTATGTGTGCACAGGTAACATTAGGCTATCCCTATATCTGTATATGTATATATATATATATATATTGCATACGTATACATAAATGCATACCTCTGCATACATGTATATGCATACACATATGTACATACAGATACATGCATGCATGACAGCTCCGAACCAACGAATAATTTCGTCATATACACAAATACGAACATCATTGTTATTTTGGCTCATGCATGGCAGCTTCCGAAGATTCCGCATCGTATGATTTTTGCTGGGTTTCACATACTTACAGCAACTATGTCGCTCCCTGTAACTTGTAGGCCTGTCACCAAGAGATGCCAAAACAAATGCTGTTGAAAAGATGCTCCTAGGCCGCGTACATGGATCGAAAAGCACGAAGTTCACCATGAACATGGGAACCGACACCTCAGCGTCTGCAGCTGCCCTGCGCAAGTGAAGAGAATTCTCAAAACCTCTCTCCCCGGTGCCCTACCGCGCGATGTGCAAAACG